GGTAAATGCACCTAGTCGGTGATAGGTGTCCCAGTCCCTCTCACTCCACCAGTTTTATGATCTGCCCACTATGATCCTTTGTCTTGCCTGGATTCAGTTTCAGTTGGTTCACCTCATTCAGTCCCCTTTGGGAAAAAGGCAAAGGAATTTAGAATTAAATTCTAAATTAAGAATTTAGTTTGGTTGTGTATGTTTTTATTTTTGTGAAGAAGATTTATGGCCACAGGAGGTATGGCATGGCTGGGAGAAGAGGCATGGAGCAGCTGGGAAGAGATCTGAGAGGCCACTGTGAGTCCTTTGGAGGATAAGCAGACTGTTTATCATTTATGGATCATTGAGACTAGCAAGTCTAGAGGGCTGGTGCTGTGCTAATACAGTCCTATAAATGATTTAGGGATGAAACAGCCCTGTGAACTGTTTGGGAGTGAATCAGACCTGTCAGTGGCTCAGGGGCTGGGGCAGGAAGAAAGTTTCACTGAGACTGAACACTTCATGGGCCTGAGCAGGAACAGCCCTATGATGCAAAGAGTGAGAAAGGGGGACTGGACAAATTGTCAAGGATAGGTTCATCAGTGGGTATAACATTAAAAATAGGACTTCATAGACCTCTGAATGCTGGAGTAGCGCAGGGAGAGAAGGGACGGATTAGTTTGGATAGGCCTTGCATAAATACTCTTCCCTTTAGCACCCATTCCCTGATAGTGTGAAAGACAGGACACTGGGTTAAACAGATCTGTGGGTCCAACCTGGTATGGTATTTCTTATGTTCTTAAGGGTCCCAGGTATCCCAGTTCTAGGTCTCTGTACCACACCTGAAGCCCCTGCACAGTTCACCTTTGGCAAACAGCTCTGTCTCCCTCTCCCCACAACCCTTTCCACTGTAATTCTTGTCTGCTTTTCCCAGAAGGAACTCTGAGTCTGAACAGCTGGACCTTTTCTCTTCTCTTCTGTCCTAAAGCAGTCAGAGGGAAAGCCACTTAAAGTATGTCTGCATTGTATCCCAAGCATTTCTGAGACAGTGGCTTTCAAGCTTGCCCTGTACACACACTCCCACTCACCAAACAGAAATGAGGTGGTGAGGCTCCCCTAGGTTGCTCTCTGGAGCCATTTGTGAGCTCTCTGCCTCCAGCATGTTTAAAAGTGGCAATGGAGGATGCTCGTGGAGAAACTTTCCTGTACCACTTCTGAATTTTGTGCATGTGAGTAGGAGCATGTGGACTAGATGCTCTTGAAAACACCTAGAGGGGACTCTTGGGGACATGGTATAAGTATAACCATAGAGGATTTCCCTGTTCCTTCTCTACCTCTCCAGGACTGTCTGCATTGTTATTGTTTAGTGACCCTAAGAGTATACTTGAGTCAGGCTCAATGAGCCTCCATTCCACTACTTCCTTTGCTTCCTGTCACCTCACATGGAGAGAGGATTCTGCATGCACCTGTGTTCCAGTTTGTGCCCAGGAACTCTTACCACCCACACTGTAGTTGGAATAGCCTTATTATTACATAAATCCTCCAACAGCAATCCTAGTACTCCTAGCTAGAGATCTGGCTCTTACCTACTTCACCTCTGACCAGAACCAGGTCTTGACTTGTTTAATACCTTTGTGCCAACCAGCCCCATATTTTCTGTGTAAGCAATTTGTGTCTTCTTTCTTTTGATGACATCTAGTATGTCAAGTGAGAGGGTGGCCAACTGGCCTAAGGAAAACAATGAGATATATCTATATGTATATAATTAATGAGCGAGAAAGTAATTTGAGATGTTACAGGTATTGCAACATCTTCCAGGAGATAGTACAGAGGAGTCTGACAGCAGTCGTCATCCACTGGGCTTAGAAACAATGCCAGGAGTGACTAAGAAGAAGCAATTATTGCATCAAGGACTGAAACTCCATGTTTAGAGCCATGCCCATCACATGCTTCCACTAAGTAGACTTCAGAGGAGTGCTTCTGCCAAGCTGTTGCTGTCTCATGACCCAACAAGTGACTGAATAGTGTTGTTTAACCAAACCAATGAGGAATCTAAGGAACAGTAGCTGAATGGAGAGCTGGATGTGGACCCTTGAGCAGCTGACTCATGGTATAGTTGAAGAAGCCACCAAGCTTGAGATATTTGCAGGAGTCACCCTTGTAACTTTTCTTGAACACCAGCACTAAGACCTCCACACAATCCAGTATTTCCCTGCTCACTTTTTCTCTTCCAGGTAAACAGTATTTTCTGTGTTTGTGGAGTGGAAAGGGATTTCTTTGAGATTTATAGCTGCAGTATCACAGAAGAGTTGAGTTGTGCTGCTCCTGGGTGGGATGCCCTAGAAATGGAGGCTAATATGAAGGGTTTGCCATCCTCATCAAGCCCATTCTGCTTTAGATTACCCCCAGTGTGGCTGCAAAAGGGAATAGTAGAGTAGGAGGAGGACCCAAGTGCAAGCATCTACAAGCATATTTCACTGGCTTCAGTGATCTAAGGATGCGATGGATAGCACCATATGAGTGGGATGGGTTTGAATGGAGATGAAACTCCCACTTATTGGGAATGTCCCTTCCATTTAAATACTCAATCCAATCCCCCTTTTCTCTAGAACAAGGGAAGTGTAGAGGACAGACTTTTCTCATAAGTACAAGACCTATTACATTATGCTTTCTTTGGCATTCTTTCAGTGTTGCCACCATTTCACCACCACTTTTACTATGAAGGGTGTGGTTGAACCCACTCCCTTGATGCTGCAAGCAGAACTAAACACAGAATGTAAGCTATGGGGGAGGCACCAGTAATTTGGGCAAAAAGCAGCAATGGATTCTGAATTTAGAAGCTTAGCAAGGGTCTCTGCTGTCAGCCTCTATGATGGCCTTAGTACTCACTTCTTTTCTTTCCAGATACCTCTTGGTGTACCACCTCCCTGTCTCCAGAAAAAAAGATAAGGGGAAATGATAATATGACTCCATAGGGAACTCCTTAAGTCACAGGATCCAGGTTTCTTAACTTGTCCCTTTCCTGGCACTTTCTGACAAATCTGACCTCCCTTCCTTGGGGGCCCACATCAGACTGGTCTACAGAAATAGTCTACAGTTCCTTCCAATCTTTCAAAAATATTGGGTTTCCTTTGGTGATTCTTGAAATTTTGCTAATATCTCCAGTTTTCAAAATTTGGTAGAAGTAAATGCAAGTGGTATAGAGAGTTGCTCAGCTAGTTAGATTACATTTTGTGGCGCTATATTCTGTCTTGTTGATTTGAAAGTCGCTTTACACCTTTTTTTATTACAGTGGATAAATTTCCTTTTTGCATCACATTGCGATACAAAATGGACTCATTCTCCAGGTTTTCTTTCTATGGCTATTAATGATTTCTGACTTTTTATATTACTATTTGCAATTTTACATTTGAATCGAATAATTGACATGCATATGACTCAGAATTTTTTTTCCTAATCAATTTTAAAAATGCCTTCTGATTTACCTTTCACTTTATTGGCTGTTGATATTGATTTGTTGATGCCATTAGCTCCATTTATTAGTTGCATACTCTTTAAACAGTAACATATATATGCATATGTGGATTTTCTTTTCTTTCAATTCATTAGATACAGATTTTTTAATGGTTCATCATTGCTTCCACCTCTCAGTTTAAACAGATTTTGTTTCGCCTAAGGTAATTTTTACTGTGTTTATAAAATTGTTTATTTTGGGACATCCAGTAAGGTGTCCACTGCGAATGTTGCAATTTCCACTGCAAAATGTTAATAGAAGTATGATCGGTGGCTGAGAGGGATCTTGGACTCATAGTTGACTCCAAGATGAACATGAGCCGGCAGTGTAATGATGCTATCAACAAGGCCAATCACATCTTGTCGTGCATTAGCAGATGCATGACCAACAGATCGTGGGAGGTGATGCTTCCCCTCTACGTGGCTTTGGTCAGGCCGTAGTTGTAGTACTGTGTCCAGTTTTGGATGCCGCACTTCAAGAGCGACACAGAGAATCTGGAGAGGGTTCAAAGGAGGGCCACTCACATGATTAGTGGCCACCGTGAAAGACCCTACGAGGGGAGGTTTAGGGATCTGGATATCTTCAGCCTTCACAAGAGACGTCTGAGGGGAGACCTTGTAGCTGCCTATAAGTTTATCAAGGGAGGACAACAGGGAATTGAAGATGCGCTATTTTCCAGAGCACCCCTAGGAGTAACTAGGAATAATGGGTGCAAACTAGTGGAGAGTAAATTCAGGTTAGACATTAGGAAGAATATTTTTACAGGAAGGGCGTCCAGAATCTGGAATGGGCTTCCATGAGAGGTGGTGCTATGATCTAAATTGGAGGTCTTCAAGAGGAGGCTTGATAGTCACCTGGCTGGGGTCATATGACCTTCGTCCTCTTTCCTGCCAGGGGCATGGGGGTCGCACACAATGATCCTTTGTGGTCCCTTCCAACTCTACAATCTATGAATCATCAGATCATAGGGAAGTAGGGCTGGAAGGGACCACATGGGGTCCATCTAGTTCAGCCCCCTGCTTAAGGCAAGATCATCGCTGAGTAAACTAAATATCACGCTCCCTGTCAGAAAGGCCAAGAACGCCTTCAGGCCTTTTGGGAAGTAGTTAGATGTGTAGGTGTTAAGTCAGGGCAGGGGAGGGTGGAGGGTTGTCACCTACCAAAGCTTATACCTTTCTGAACCAGTTATTCTCTAAAGTGCTACCTTGCCCTGCCTTCTTTAAGCTTTGGCAGAAGGTAGGACAGGGTGGCACCTAGAGACTATCTAGTTCAGAGACATTTCATAAGCAACAACCTACTTTGTCAGATGCTACAGGCTTTGGGAAACTGACCCTTTTAAAATTCTGAATCCATATGTTATTATGGCAAATGCTCTCAACATTCAAAGGGTATTATATTATTTTTTAAAATTTTACGTAGGTGTCTGTGCTCATGCTAATGACTGTGCAGGGACGGCAAGGAGGAGTTCCCCTTCGAGAAGAGGCAGATCCCCCTCTACATCGACGACACCCTCACGATGGTGATGGAATTTCCTGATAACGTGCTAAACCTTGATGGACATCAGAATAATGTTGATTATGTAGGTAAAATAGTTTCTTCCTGGATTTAAAGAGAATGAGGGATAATTACTGCAAATCTCCAAAAGTAATCAAGGCAGATTACACATCTTCTGAAGTCTCCTCCTTCAGGGAAAATCCACATCAACTAGTCTAACTTGGGCCAAAAGGTGTAAGTGGCTAAAGTGTGTAAAATAATAGTCCCAGGTCTAGGGAGAGAAAGAGAAAATTGACATCCTAAAACTGGTAGACACAAGCCCATGACCAAAACCTGACCTGCTAATTGATTGTATCCAATCTGCGGATTGACAGTTGCCAACTCATAAAATCTGGCCCATGGGCAACCAGCAGCTCCAGGCACCATGTGATGCCAGGTGGGTGGGCAGGACTGTTTACACCATGCCAGGTGGCTGGGTGGGTGGGATTGCAACTGCCCAGTGCTGACTCGGCAGCATCAGCTGCAGACCGGGGCAGATGCCCCTATCCCCACCTGCTGGGCACATCCACAGGTAACACTGGTGGCTGCCCAGAGCTGCTTCTGCTCTGCTGGGTGGGTGGTAGCGTCAGCTGCAAATGGGGCCAGCCGGTTCTGAGTCGGGGATGGGGATCAGGGGGGGTGCTACAGCTCCAGGCAGGGCGGGGCAGGAGAGAGGGGAAGAGAGAGAGGGAGAAGATCAAGGCATGCTACAGTTCCAGGAAGGGAGGGAGGGAGAGAGGATCAGGACACATTACAGATCCTGGGAGGAAGAGAGAGATGTGGCCCACCAGAGGACACCAAAACTCATGTGGCCCTTGAGAGGACACCACAACTGATTAAGTGGCTCTCCAGCTAAAATAATTACCCACCCCTGGGATAGAATCATAGGGCCTTGTTACACAGTAATTTTGGGCAGCTCCTGGAGCTTTTAACCTCTCGATTGTCTGCATATTAACACCTTAAATTAGTTTTTAAGCACTTATGCATATCAAAGTTATGCCACTTTAGGGCAGGATTATCTTTGATTCGCACTACCCAGTTCCTGTTCCATTAAGATGCTGAAATCCTCCAGTTTCCCTGAATCGCTTATACCCCTGCCCATAGAGCAGGAATAGAAGCCTGTCCCGACTCACCAGCTCTGTAGTGGTAACCCACAGCTCCAATTCCTAGTCCTGCCCTTGCTCACTAAGCCTCTAGTGGTAAATCACAGCTGCGCAGGTTGGGGACAGTCAGAGAAGGTTTCTAGACTAAGGGTGTGAAAGCTCCAAACTCCAAGCTAGCGTAACAATGCCCATGATGCAGGATCATCCCTATCCAAACCATCCCATACAAACCATGGTGTAAACTCCGCATAAGAATACCATTAACAAGCTTTCCATACCAGACATTCTTCTTCAGGCCTGAGGAGTAAAAGCCAGCACAGGGAGGATAAAAACCAGTTGGAAAAGGAGGGAGAGAAATTCCCAGGGGTAGCAGACAAACAAGAAAAAAAGCAGGCAATTTGTACTGCATGAAGCTATGTTGCCCCCCTGGTTCCCTTGCTTTTCTTGTGACAGGTTAGGGGTTTAGGTCTGTGCTGTGTCATGGTGGATGGTTGGCTTATGTAGAGTTTAGATGATGGTTGGTATGGGATGGTTTGGATAGGGCTGTTCTTGCCTTGGCCAGGGGGGTGGACTAGATCTCTGAAGGTCCCTTCTAGTCCCACTTCTCTAGGAGGCTATGATAAAGTTGCAGCAGTTTGACTACAGTTGTATCCTTTTCTGGTCCTTCAGAGGAAGCCATTAGAATTTAAGAGCTGCTACGCCTTTTGAAAGGGCCCCAGATATCCCCTTGGAAGCATCCCTATTTAAAGGGGGAGAAACGTGGCAAGGAACCAGGCTTGCTGGATTCACACGTTAAACAGTTGTAGATATGCTCGTTATTCTAAAGTGAGGTCCACAGATTTTGTTCTGGCTGCAGAGTGATCCCCTACTATTTCCCAGGCTCCAGATGCTGTGACTACTGAGATACCAAAGAAGTGGTGGCAACTCCATCCCTGGAAACTTTTAAAAGCAGGTTAGATAGACCTGTGGCTACTTTAGTCAGGGATGATTCTGCCCTGAGGAGAGGCTGAGGGAACTGGGTTTATTTAGTTTGGAGAAGAGAAGAGTGAGAGGGGATTGACTGAAGCCTTCAACTACCTGAAGGGGGTTTGAAAGAGGATGGAGCAAGACTGTTCTCAGTGGGGGCAGATGACAGAACAAGGAGCAATGGTCTCAAGTTGTACAAAGGGAGGTTTAGGTTGGATAGCAGGAAAAACTTTCTCACTAGGAGGGTGGTGAAGCACTGGAAGCACAATGCTCCATGGGCAACTGGTGCCACCTTAGTCAGAGGGGCATGTGCCCCCCCCCCCCCCCCCGGGGGGGGGTGTCCCCTGCAGCCGATTGTGCCAAGTGGAGGGAGTCCCCCCACGGACAATTGCATCAACTGGGGGGCTCCACTGCCTGGCCAGCGCTCACGGGGGTGGGGGGCACTGGCGCTTCTGCCTACCCCTTCTGCCCGTCGCCTAAGTGGGAGTGCAGCCTGTTAGGGGGTGCAGCGCTGTCAAGGGGTGCACGTGCACCCCCTACACATCGCCACTGCCGTGCTGTATTCTTGAGCTGCAATATCTTTATGACTTTATAACCTACTGGAACAGGTTACCCAGAGAGGTGGTGGACTCTCCATCCTTGGAGGTTTTTAAGGCCTGGCTCAACAAAGCCCTGGCTGGAAGGATCTCGTTGGGGATAGTCCTGCTTTGGGCAGGGTGCTGGACTAGATCACTTTCTATGATGCTGTGACTGCACAGGGGGCTGGACTAGATGGCCTTATCAGGACCCTTCCAGCTCTGCTCTCTCTACCCCACTGAACATTGGGTCGCAAGGCAAATCCTTTGGTGATTAGTGACGCCAATGAAATACAAGATTCAGATTATACACCTCAGCTGTATCCAGCAGCAGGAGGAAAACAATCAGCCAACGCTATTATTTTAGTTCTCTATCGCACCAAAAACTTAAACCATGAGTGAGGGCGCCTGGGGGAACATGCCAGCCCCTCCGCGGGCACCACAGCGAGGAGGGGCCTCCCCATCCCGCCCTGAGGGCCGCGTGGGACCCTGTCGCCGCGCGCGGGGCCGGGCTGTGTCTGCCGCCAGCC